GCTGCCCAGGCGGGTCTCGAACCCGTGGGCTCAGGCAATCCACTCACCTCAACCTCCCAAAGGCGCGGAATTACAGGCTGAGCCACCGAGTCCGGCTTGGAAACTTTTTTTTAAAAAAAAACCAGTAAGTACCAAGAAGGACAGGTAAGGGCAAACTGAATCTGATATTGTATTTCTGTATTGTCATTTCCAGGTCTGAGAAGAATGATGTTGATAATTTAATGGGTATTGCATTGAATCTGTAGATTGCCTTTGGTAGGATGGATATTTTAACAATGTTGATTCTTCCTATCCATGAGCATGGAATATTTTTCCATTTGTTTGTGTCTTCTTGGATTTCTTTGAGCAGTGTTTTTTAGTTTTCATTGTAAAGGTCTTTCACTTCTCTGGTTAGGAAGATGTCGAGGTATTTCATTTTTATGTGTGGTTATTGTGAATGGGATTGTGCTTTTTATTTGGTTCTGTGCCTGCTTGTTGTTGGTGTATAAGAATGCAACTATCTTATGTATATATTCAGCTTACTTTAAAAGGTAAAAAAAAATTATTTTTTGAAATTATAATAAAAATTGTTTATAAATTTTTATTTATATTTTATTACATTTAAATTTTATTAAATTTGTACAATTATAATTAGTTTGACAACAATGTAAGATTTTTAAATTTTATTATAACTTTTATAATTTTTATTAGAGAACAGACCAATGCTTTAAGAAAACCTTGTTATTCTGACACAAGGGCTTAGACGTTGGCCCTGCATCACTGCTGTTGACATTAATTCTTAATTTGTAAACAACTTCGAATTAATTTTATTTTTTTAAATTAGCCCTTACAATTTCACACACCCACCTTTTTCATGATAGTCCCTGGATGAGGAGAGATTGAATAATTTTAATTTTTGTTCCTATGTCTTATAAAGGCAGTTTATTTTGATTGTTACATTTTTCTGGGCTTGGAAATGAGGCCCTCACTGGTGGGATTTAGCAAGAGTTACTTTTTTTTAGTCCCAGAAGCCAAAGCCCTATAACTTTACAGCACAAGGATTGGTTAATAGAACATTTTATAGAATATGCAAAAAACTTAGAACACTTTATTAAAATAAAATCACAGATTATTGTAAAAATTATATTTAACCGAGGCAATAAACTTTAAATAAACTATGCCAAAAGTTACATGGGTACAAGCTTTCTTTTTTTTATTTTAAAGATGTAGGGGTACAATTTAGGATTAGGTATACAAGTGGTCATCGTACAGGTAAAATTTGGGCCTCCCTTTGTCCACACTTTGCCTGGTTTGAGATCAGGTGCTCTTATTGATGTGTCCTCCCCTACTTCAGCAGTATCCCACTACTGCCAATCTCTTTCTTATAGTATTATGGTAAATGTTCAGGATCTGCTTATGAGTGAGAACATGGGGTACTCTATTGTTTGTTTCTGTGATAGATCACTGAGTATGATAGACTTTAAGTCTGACTAAGTTGCTGCAAAATCTATATGTTTGTCCTTCTTTATGGCTGCATAATATTCCACTGTGTATATGTACCACATATTTTTTATCTAGTCCAGTTTTGATTGGTGGCACAGCTGGTTCTACATTTTTGCTATTGTGAATAGTACTGTAATAAACATGCATGTGCAGGTATCTTTTTTGTAGTATGATTTGAATTCCAGGTATATTACCAGAAGGAGGATTGCTTGGTCATATGGAAGGTCAATGTCTCGTTCTTTTAGAAATTGCCACACTGTTTTCCAAAGAGGTTGCACTAGTTTGCATTCCCACCAGAGTGTAGAAGCATTCCTTTTTCTCTGCATCCTTGCCAGCTTCTGCTGTTGTTTGTTTTATTAATGATGACCATTCTTACTGGGGTTAGGTGGTATCTCAAACTGGTTTTGATTTGCATTTTTCTGATGGTTAGTGAGGCTGAGCACTTTTTATGTGTCTGTTGGCTGTCTGTATATCTTCTTTTGAGAAGTGTCTATTCATGTCTTTTGCCCACTTTTTATTGGGACTGTTTGTTTTTTTCTTTTTTGGCACATTTGAGTTCCTTGTAGATCCTGGATGTTAGGCCTTTGTCAGATACAGTTGGCAAATATTTTTTCCCATCCTGTGAGCTGTCTCCCTGCTCTCTTGATGGTTTATTTGGCTTTGTAGAAGCTTTTCAGCTTGATAAGGTCCCACTTGTCTATCTTATCTCTAATGGCATGGACACTTGGGGTTTTAATCAGGAATTGGTTGCCAGTTCCGATTTCCATAAGGATGTCTCCTTCATTTTCTAAGGTTCTTATGGTTTGAGGTTTTACATTTAGCTCTTCCATTCATTTAGAGTTGATTTTTTGTGTATGGTGATAGATAGGGGTCCTGTTTTAATCTTCTGCATGTGGCCAACCAGTTTTCCCAGCACAATTTACTAAATAGGTTCTCCTCTCCCTAGTGGTTGTTGGTAAAGACTTTGTGGAAGAGGAGTTGGTTGAGAAGTTGAGGTTTTGCTTCCAGAATCTCTATCTTGTTCCAATGGTCCACATGCCTGTTCTTGTACCAATAACAGGCCGTTTTGATTATAGTAGCCTTATAGTAAAGCTTAAAGAATGGAAGTGTGATACTGCATTGTGTCTTTTGCTAAGGATTGTTTTGGCTATTCGTGATCATTTATGTTTCCACATGAATTTCTGTTTGTCATTTCCAGGTCTGAGAAGAATGATGTTGATAATTTAATGGGTATTGCATTGAATCTGTAGATTGCCTTTGGTAGGATGGACATCTTAACAACATTGATTCTTCCTATCCATGAGCATGGAATATTTTTCCATTTGTTTGTGTCTTCTTGGATTTCTTTGGGCAGTGTTTTGTAGTTTTCATTATAAAGGTCTTTCACTTCTCTGGTTAGGAAGATGTTGAGGTATTTCATTTTTATGTGTGGTTATTGTGAATGGGATTGTGCTTTTTATTTGATTCTCTGCCTGCTTGTTGTTGGTGTATAAGAATGCAACTGTCTTTTGCACATTTATTTTGTACCCTAAGACTTTGCCAAAGTCCTTTATCAGTGCAAGCAGGTTTTTGACAATTCTCTTGGATTTAAAAGGTATAGGATTATATCATCAACAAAGAGGGATAACTTAACTTCCTCTTTTTCAATTTGGACACCCCTAATTTCCTTCTCTTGTCTAATTGCTAGGACTTCCACACAATGTTGAACAAGAGGAGTTAGAGTGGGCAGCCTTGTCTTGTTACGGTTTTCAAGGGAAATACTTCCAGTTTTTGTCCATGTAGCAATATGTTGGCTGTGGGCTTATCGTAGATAGCGCTTACTATTTTGAGGTGTGTTTCTTCTATGCCTAGTTGTTTAAGGGTTTTTATCAAAAAGAGATGCTGGGTTTTATCAAAAGTTTTATCTATTGACATAATAATGTGGTTCTTGTTTTAATATCTGTTGATATATTTATTTACATTTATGGTCTTACAGATTTTGAACCAGCCCTGCATCCTGGAGATGAAGCCAACTTGGTCATGGTGGATGATTTTTTAAATATGTTGTTTCCAATTTGCTAGAATCTTATTGAGAATTTTTGCATCTATGTTCATTAGGAATATTGGCCTGTAGTTCTCTTTTTTTGTTGGATCTTTACCCGGTTTGGGTATCAGTATGATGTTAGTGTCATAAAGTGATTTGGGAAGAATTCTGTCTTTCTCAATTGCCTAGAATACTTTCAACAGGATTGGTATCCGCTCCTTCTTGTACATTTTATAGAAATTCACTGTGAAGCCATCTGTTCCAGGGCTTTTTTTGTAGGTAGTTTTCTTATAACAGAGTCAATTTCCTGGGCTATTACTGGTCTTTTTATTGTCTCAATGTTTTCTTGCTTCAACCTTGGGAGGTGTGTGATGTCAGAAAGTCCTTCATTTCATTTAGGTTATCAAGCTTTTTTCCATACAAGTGTGCATAGTAATCTCTGATAATCTTTTGTATATCTTCAGGGTCAGTTGTGTTTGATATTTTGCATTTCTGATTGTGTTTATTTGGGCTTTTTCTCTCTTTTTCTTGGTCATTCTTGCTAGGGGTCCGTCAGTCTTGTTTTTTCTTTCAAAGAACCAGCTTTTTTGTTTTGTTTATTTTTTCTATGATATTTTTCTCTTCTATGTCCTATATTTGGGCTTTTATT